TCTCACTATTTAAGGTAAGTGGTAACAATGTAGTTTAAGTGTCTTTCCAACATAGCTACCAGTTTATGCAAAATGTTGTAGGTTCTTAAGATTTTAGGAGAAATCTGTATCAAACTGTTCTGCCATGTATGTTTTGTGCACTATAAAATTATCATATTCTGCTGTACAAGACCCAAGGAAAAATAATCGCACCACCACCAAATTTGCCTTACTCAGGCAAAACTCCCACTGACTTCAGGATTTCACGGACTGTCAACAGAGTGTTACCCATCATTTTCCTTTCTTTAGTTTTGCTTCTATTCCATTCAGAGTAAATATACAAGGCAATTAAATTCTAGCAATGTATTACATGTGGAACAGTGATAGACCTTGAGTTAAGAACTAGAAGAGCACCCTAATCCTATGGAAACACCAACACTCCATAAAAGATTCATAGATTCATAGATAGATTCATAGATTCTAGGACTGGAAGGGACCTCGAGAGGTCATCGAGTCCAGTCCCCTGCCCGCATGGCAGGACCAAATACTGTCTAGACTATCCCTGATAGACATTTATCTAACCTACTCTTAAATCTCTCCAGAGATGGAGATTCCACAACTGCCCTAGGCAATTTATTCCAGTGTTTAACCACCCTGACAGTTAGGAACTTTTTCCTAATGTCCAACCTAGACCTCCCTTGCTGCAGTTTAAGCCCATTGCTTCTTGTTCTATCCTCAGAGGCTAAGGTGAACAAGTTTTCTCCCTCCTCCTTATGACACCCTTTTAGATACCTGAAAACTGCTATCATGTCCCCTCTCAGTCTTCTCTTTTCCAAACTAAACAAACCCAATTCTTTCAGCCTTGCTTCATAGGTCACGTTCTCAAGACCTTTAATCATTCTTGTTGCTCTTCTCTGGACCCTCTCCAATTTCTCCACATCTTTCTTGAAATGCGGTGCCCAGAACTGGACACAATACTCCAGCTGAGGCCTAACCAGAGCAGAGTAGAGAGGAAGAATGACTTCTCGTGTCTTGCTCACAACACACCTGTTAATACATCCCAGAATCATGTTTGCTTTTTTTGCAACAGCATCACACTGTTGACTCATATTTAGCTTGTGGTCCACTATAACCCCTAGATCCCTTTCTGCCGTACTCCTTCCTAGACAGTCTCTTCCCATTCTGTATGTGTGAAACTGATTTTTTCTTCCTAAGTGGAGCACTTTGCATTTGTCTTTGTTAAACTTCATCCTGTTTAACTCAGACCATTTCTCCAATTTGTCCAGATCATTTTGAATTATGACCCTGTCCTCCAAAGCAGTTGCAATCCCTCCCAGTTTGGTATCATCCGCAAACTTAATAATCGTACTTTCTATACCAATATCTAAGTCGTTAATGAAGATATTGAACAGAGCCGGTCCCAAAACAGACCCCTGCGGAACCCCACTCGTTATGCCTTTCCAGCAGGATTGGGAACCATTAATAACAACTCTCTGAGTACGGTTATCCAGCCAGTTATGCACCCACCTTATAGTAGCCCCATCTAAATTGTATTTGCCTAGTTTGTCGATAAGAATATCATGCGAGACCGTATCAAATGCCTTACTAAAGTCTAGGTATACCACATCCACAGCTTCTCCCTTATCCACAAGACTCGTTATCCTATCGAAGAAAGCTATCAGATTGGTTTGACATGATTTGTTCTTTACAAATCCATGCTGGCTGTTCCCTATCACCTTACCACCTTCCAAGTGTTTGCAGATGATTTCCTTAATTACTTGCTCCATTATCTTCCCTGGCACAGAAGTTAAACTAACTGGTCTGTAGTTTCCTGGGTTGTTTTTATTTCCCTTTTTATAGATGGGCACTATATTTGCCCTTTTCCAGTCTTCTGGAATCTCTCCCGTCTCCCATGATTTTCCAAAGATAATAGCTAGAGGCTCAGATACCTCCTCTATTAGCTCCTTGAGTATTCTAGGATGCATTTCATCAGGCCCTGGTGACTTGCAGGCATCTAACTTTTCTAAGTGATTTTTAACTTGTTCTTTTTTTATTTTATCTGCTAAACCTACCCCCTTCCCATTAGCATTCACTAGGATAGGCATTCCTTCAGACTTCTCGGTGAAGACCGAAACAAAGAAGTCATTAAGCATCTCTGCCATTTCCAAGTTTCCTGTTACTGTTTCTCCCTCTTCACTAAGCAATGGAATATAATGGAACATATAATGTATAATGGAATATAATGGAACATATAATATACGTTAGCCTTCTTCCATTGTTTTGTTTCTGGAATGTGTGAAGAGAGCATGTATGCATTTTGTCAATTACCCAAAACTTATGCCAATTGATACAAAAGCCTGGGATATCTCTACAAGTATTAGCATAATCAGTGATGGGATTGCAGAAAGGGTTTTTATGAGTAAAAGCAAGGTACCATCTGAGTATAAAATTATTGCCATAATTTTTAAACTCAGACATTTGTTTCATAAGCTTATCACTAAGGATTGCAACTATTTTACTGTTGCTCTAATTTTGTTAGACACCTGGGATTGCAGGAGTTCTTATACCACACAGACTGTGTTTTATTTAATTTCATTGGCCAATTTACTTCCTTAGATGAAAGCCTACCATTCCCATTTAAATCAATGGGATTACTAAATGTATTCAAAAACAGAATCTGTCCTTCTGTATTTATCAGACTACATGCATATGCTGCAGAGAAACATGAGTTCTTCTTTTCCTTGCCAAAACACTCTAACAAATCTTATTCATAGGGAGGTAAATTGAGTCCTGCCAGAAGAAAAAACAACTTTTAAATCTTGCTCTTTGTTCAAGCAACACCACATGATTGCGTGTGAAAGAGAAAGAACGAGAGACAGAGCATTAGCCCAAATCTAGCGAGTTTAGGGACAAGACGGTCAATTGAGCAAAACTTCAATTACAGACTAATTTAATGTAGACCCAAGTACATTATTGCAATTCAATAAACATCTCTTTAGAATTAAGTGATTCCAATTTGCTTTCATTTCAGCTGTGTGCACGCATTTAGAATTTGTTAGTATCCACACCAAAATTAGTCAGATTCTTTCAGAAGCACTGATCCATGCAATCCCAAAGTGACACCACTGGTGCATGGGACTAACCTCAAATCAACCACTGAAAAATGTACCTGCTTAGAAAAAAAGGTGCAAGTCTTGGCAAAATAATACTTTATTAACCCTTAATTATCTCTCCTTTTTAGTTCTTCTACCATCTCTTGATCTAGGTGTCTAGGTACCTGTGTAACCCTAGCAACAAATTTATCAACAGCTCTTCTGCTGGATACTTCATCCATCGGTATTTACAACTTGCTCTTCCAATCATCTTACCTTCAATGGTTTTTGATCAGGAGACTATCAGGCACCTCCCTAACTAAGGTTGCACCTAATATTTTTTTTCCTCTGGAGGCTTGCCTTACTCCTTTGTGAATACAGTATGCTTCTAGATACACCTGCCTATGGCTGTCTATGTCCATTTCAGACAAGAATGCCTTCTTATTTTACATGTTTGATCCTGAAATGTGCCAAGCACCCACTCCCATTGTCCTCAATAGGAATTGTAAGAACTCAGCACTTTGCGGGATCAGTCCCTTTGTCATTTGTAGTTTGAGAATCCAGCAGCAGAACCAAGACTAGAACTCGGGACCTCCAGACTCCCAGCCTTGTGCTCATTCCTACACATCACACTGCCAAAGACTGAAGACACGTGTCGATCTTTGGGATGCTTCCCCACAAATACTCCATGATACAAAGGATGTGTATCAACATATGGGGCAAGTCTCATGGTAGGCAAATTCAGTCTCAATACCCTTTGATATATATTAGTCACTACAGTTTTCCACACAGGGCTGCATTTCAAAGAAGCTCAACACGAGCAATTAGAATATTTTTCATTCAGACAACAGCTACTTTTATTGAATTGATTTAAATATTCCCTCCTTTTATTAAAAATGTAAAATCAAGTAGTATTAAAACATTCACATTTTGCACCTAGCCTCCTGGCAGTCACCCACATTTCTTTCAGGGATAACTGTGGTTGTGAATCATTCTTTAGCACAGTCCTTTTAAGGGATTCCGAGACTGTAGTATATTGTAGCTGTGGCCAGATCAGTGCAATCAACCCAGATTCAGGGGACAATAAAAGTGACTTAAAGACACCTTTGAACTCTCCCCTCCTGATCTCTCCTCAGGTGCAGCTCAAGATCTGAGCCTGACTAGAAACTCCCTTTCCCACCTTGAAGTAAGTTAAAATCAAATAGACAATTAATGTTTTGGGATTTTGTTAAAAAAATAAGTCTGCATGATAAATGACAGTTCACCCAGTGCATCCTGTGCGCTCTGAACCTACCCTGTTCCAAGCTCTTTGGGCAAAGACTGACTATTTTTTTGGTAGTTGCAAAAAAATTCTTGGGCAGTTTCAGGCACACTGACACAGGAGTGATAATAGATAGCACTGGAACAAAGACCTGGCTGCAGTCCTCCTCAATTAGTATTGTTGCTGCCGCTTGGCACTTCAGGGCAGCAGAAGAGCCCACCCTGACACTATTTACATAGCGACATAGAACACACTATGGCACCTTGACAGGATTATTTGTGCCTTATAAATTACTGTTAGGGAACAAAGCTGAAATCTAGAGGTGGTCAAACTGTTTCATGGAAAAAATTAAAGTATCATTAAAAATACTTATAAAATATGTATAATAGACATAACTAAAGGGCTGATAAACGGGGTGGTAGCCAGAGAAAGTTTCCCTTCTTCATTCAGTTTTTAAAAAGAGGACTGAAACTCTTCTGTAGCTTACACCCTATATTTTGCTTAACTTTAAAGTGCTATAAACTAATGAAGGAGGCAGATATTTAGGATTGTAAATATTACACACAGAACAGCTGCCATTTGGGAGAAAAATGTGCAATATCTACACACACACACACACACACACACACAATGCATAATATATGTGTTGTTGAGTTCTTGCCACCTACCTTTCACAATTAATTCTGCATAGTTTGAAACGCCAGAGCCACCATCTGAGCGAATGACACACCGGTATTTGCTGATGCTGCGCTGAGACGTGTCTGCTACGCTGACTGTAGCAGAAAACCGTCTGTGGTTGACCACCCTGGTGACCATTAACGCGGTGTCCCTTCCATTCCACTGCTGCCAGGGAAACCAAGAATAAAACAAGTGATGAGGATGTGGTTGTAAAACATGGCTTTTTTTTTTTAAAAGCTACTGACCAATTTTTGTTATTATATTTTATAGTAACACAGTTACACTTTTTTATTTACCTGAATCTACCATGTTAGAATTTACATAGGTGCAAGTTTCCAAAAGACCTCCAAATGTGCACCCACAAAATGTACTGGATACCTGTTTGTGTGCACTCACATGCACTAGTACCCTTGCATACTGATGTGGGGAGTTGTATATGCTTTCAAGTTTTGCGGATATATTTTTGGATTGCATTTAACAGTTTGACTCTTTATACATACAGCAATGTCTAGGTAGGAAGATGATCCAGACTTCCAGATATGTTCATATACAATGTATTTGCATGCTTAATTAGCATGTGCAACTACTACAACTGAACAGATTTTGTACAGCCTTTTCTTTGTGGATGTTCAGATGTGGCAGTTTGTTTCAGACTAATTTGAAGACAGACCATTTGCAAAATTTGGGTTGAGATCCACGTTTAGATTTTGAACACTCCCAATTTTTGAAGATGTTCAGACCTTCCAGGATTTTGGTTCACATTCATTTTGGCTAATCTGGATTACCTATTCTTCACAACAACTGGAACTGAGGTAGGTGAAAGAACTAGGCAGATATGTGAGTAAGGCTATGAAAATGTAGTGTCATTTTGCCAATTTCCAGCAGTCAGTATTTCTGGGTGATGTCACTTTCATGAAATGTTCCAAGTTTGAAGAGTGGCAAACAATTTCTCACTAGCAATGAAAATGCGTCCCCCCAAACCCCTGAACCTGGGGTGGGTGGACATGTTCTCACATTACTTAGGTCAGAAACATTTTTCCACACCTCTAATCATAATGGCAGATGCATTTGGCAGCAAGAATCCAAGCAAGCTAATGCTTAAGCAATTACACATCTCAGAGGGTGGCTAGATTACAACATAAAAAAATTCAGATAAAATGGAACTGCTAAGATATGAAGGTGTGTGACAGTAGCACAGTTAAAGAGACTTAAGTTATTTTGTATAAAACATATTACATTTCTTACTGACTCAAAAGTTTCTCACATACTGATTTTCATCTTTTCAACATTAGACAAACTGATTCCTATCCCCATCTCTTTCCCATGTTTAGAATGAAATTGGTATTTAAATTTGTTTTAAAAGTTTTAACTTCATTCCTTAGGCTACCAAAACCCCTTTGTTAACAAATCAGGAATATCACAGCAATTCTGGCAATGGTGCATACCTGTCTGCAGAAGCAGAAGGTTCTAGAAATATTGTTCTCTGTAGGCTCTATAATAATAAAGAATAGGGACTAAATTTTGCTCTTAAAACACTAATGCAGCAAAGTTTAAGTTCAGTTGTCTTAAATGAGCCTTGCATAAGAACAGCTATACTGAGTCAAACCAAAGACCCATCTAGCCCAGTATCCTGTCTTCCAACAGTGGCCAATGCTAGATGCTTCAGAGGGAATGAACAGAACAGGTAATCAAGTGATCCATCCCCTCACCCATTCCAAGCTTCTGGCAAAGAGAGGCTAGGGACACCATCCCTGCCCATTCTGTCTAATAGCCACTGATGGACCTTACACATGTGATTTGCTGAATCCAGACCTCAGTTGCACCAGTGTACAACTCATTTTTAAGTACAGTTGCCTTGCTCAGACTTAACATAAGTACAAGAGCAGATTTTGACCCTGTGTGCATTTGAAGTACATATAGCAAAAGGAAGTCTTATTGGCTTCATTGGGAACTTAGTAGTTTAACAGTACCGAGTTTAAAGGAAGAGAAGAATTATAGTATTTAAAGCCTCTATGCACAAAAAAGTTGTAATTTTAAGATCTGGAGCACTTTGAGGGCTAGAAATAATTAGTGACCCTCAATGAGAAGCTGGAAGTCTCCCCTTTCCAGTTTGTTAAAGCTTCCATTTCTAACCCTATAAGACTGTGAAGCTCCCATCTTAAGTCTGTTACTGTACCCAGACTTCTGGTGCAGGCAAGCCGTGCTATGGTGCAAGACCTATGGAGGAATAAGGCCTTTTGCTCCCCTGATCCTGGAGCCAGTTGGGGACTGGCTCAACCCCATAGTAACATAGAGCAATCCAGGTGATGGGGTAGGGGGTTGGTAAGTGGGGGGAGGGGTTGGAGCTTTGTACCACCTGGGTATTCAACCTAAGGAAAATCACTAGCTGCCCCTTTAGGGCATTTTTCCAACTGCTTTGTCTGCTGGTCCTGAGCCTGGGATCAATGTGCTTTGGGGGAGTGGGAGGGAAGAGATGATTCCACACAAGGTGGAAACATTCTTGATTTTTAAAATTGATGTATTATAATGGCAGGTGTTTGAAGCAGCTTGGGCATTTGATCCGGTAGGATAACTTTCAGGGGAGTCTGCTAGGGGGCAAAGGGCAAGTGAGATGATCAAAGGTGCATGATTATTATTTATTCTTAGCGTTGTGGCAATGCTTAGAGGCAGCAATAAGGTTAGTATTAGGGCTCAGTCATGCAATCTTTGACTAATGTGAATAAGTACTACTCATACGAATAAAGGTTGCAGGATCAGGCTACAGGTTTACTATGAACGTAACAGATTTGTTACATTTTCTATGGTGGCCCCACAGAGCATTACCTTGAACTCTGAACTGCAACTTTAAACAGCTTCTTCAACAAAATAGTTTGGAATTTTGCCCCTATCCCTCAGTTCTTCCTCACCTCTACTCATTTTGACTATGGATGGTTAGAAAGAAAGACCACCAGCCCAAGCTTCATGGCACTTTACCTGGAGCCAGAGTTTGTCGTGCTGAGACCACTTCCCCCCAGCGATGCACTGGAATGTTGCATTCTGTCCCACATTGACCTCCACATTCTGCAGCCGCAGGAAGTGAGGCGCTTTTCCTAACAAAAAAAATTCAAAGTATTACCCAGGTAGAGTGTGACAGTAATTGATGGTGTCATGTAGCCACGGGAAGATCCAGGCTCAGCAGATCAGAGGAGAATGCCAGGCTTCCCCATTGACACAGTGACTTCACAAAGCAAAGCCAAGCAGTATTGTTTAATTATTTAACATGGGGAGATTGATCTTATGCAGTAAGGCCAGATGGCTCATGTAACCCTTTGGCACAATAAGAAAGTGCTCTATGTATCAGCTCTACAATAGAAGTTCACAATTATTTCTAACCAGCACAGTTTCATTACTGTTTGCTATAAGCAGAGAACAATTTCTTCTGCGGAATGGGAAAATGTCACAATTTAAAGGGTCAAACATTCAAATAGTGAATTTGCAGTGAGTGATAGACACAAGCAAGTTTTCCTAAGGCTTTTTCAGGTTCACTGATTGTGAAGCAAAACCCTGGAGTTTCAGAGCTATATCATTTCGCTGTTAGATTTTAAATGTCCATTCCCTCATTCACCAAAAACAAAACAAACACACCCTGCACACACATACCACAACAGACCAGTGACTTTTAGAACTAAGCAACAAAGCCAGGCTGTTTCATGTCTGAGAATTAATTGAGAGGAAAATAAAGCATTACAACATGAGCATACAAGGCTATGAACTTTATAATATTCCAGCTGACCATTTTTAAATGAAATTCACCTCTGCAGGTTGCCAGCACAAGGTGTATATACTACTTCTATCCCTAGGCCTTGTGCTGTTCTGAATTTTATTCTGAGTTTATTACTATATTTAGGATGATTTTAAAAAAAACCTGACAGATCAGTGCACATTATTATGACTAGACCTTCAATGGGCCATGCCATTTCAGAGACTATATCCAACTATATTCCCAGACAACCACCATTAAGTACCTGGAAAAGGGTGTGGGCACCTATAAGCCTTTATATATGCAGAACAGGTAACAGCGTCTAGACACCTATTTACATGCACATATGCTGGTGCAAACAAGTTTGGCAGACATTAACAGAGGCCAGTTGAAAAGTTGGTCCATTGTATGTACATGTCTGTACTATATAATTTAGTGTTTGCCATTCACTTAGATTGCAAACAGCCCAACCAGCTGACCTAAAGTATCCCTATACTATGATCTTTATAGCTGGTCAGTAGTTGTAGCAAAATCTATTGAGAAACCAGCCTTTGGCTGAAGGTGGGTTATGCAGCCCTGTTATCTGAAACAGAGGCCTTAGCACAAGTGAGCAATGTGCTGCAGCAGAAGTTATAACAGCTGAAGTGGCTGGAGAACTGAGGCATCTAGTTTTCCCCTTTAGTGCTTTAGTAGGGGCCACGTCTGCTGACTTTTAAGCTTGTGTCTGCCACACTTAAGCTATGAAAAAAGCAAAAATTAGGTGAAAATAAGGGCTAATAATGTCAAATCCCTCCTCAGCACGAGTTTACCAGCAGTGTTCTGAGTAATAACTATTGTAAAATGAATGTGAGGGGTGAAAGCCATAAAAGTTCACAGAACATGTCACTGATATTTCAAGGTGGCTTTCATTCCTGGACCTCTGCATGTGACCTGAGCAGTAGAGGGGTGAAGCATTAGGAAAGACTGCAGGGGATTTATAGTTTATATGGAACACTATACCACACAGGTTGAAAAAGTCCCCCAAAACAGGGTATGATGTGCATGGTTTGGGCCACTTTATACTGCTATCAGTCTCCTTTTTAAGCTTGAGCTGTGTGGAAAACTTAAAAACACAAGGATAGCCATATTGGGTCATACCAGTGGTCCATCTAGTCCAGTACCCCATCTTCTGACCTCAGACAGTGCAAGATATTTCAGTGAGAATGAACAGAACAGGGCAATTTCGAGTGATCCATCCCCCATCGTCTAGTCCCAGCTTTTTGCAGTTAGAGGTTTAGGGAAACCCAGAGAACAGGGTTGCCACACAAGCTCAACTGCATCAATACAATTCTAGCAGTCAAATCCTACAGTCCCTGAAAGGAATGGGAGTTCTCCAGGTAAGAACCCAGGATTTGTCAACTGATACTAGCCAAGTTGTGATGCATGTTAACTATACTGCTCTGTTTAAAGTTAAAAGGAAGGAGGCAGCTGAAGTCCAATTCTTTCTGAATATTTACAAGGAATTTTTTTCCCTTCTACATTTCTCAAGGCACAAGGTGCGTTAGCAGTCAGTTGTGGACAATGAATAAGCTTCCAGAATATGAGGTGAATAGAAGGCTCAGAAAGTGATTAAGCTTTTAGGGCCAGATTCTCCAAGCTGCTCAGCAGGCAGCAATTCCCATGGAGAATAGGAGCTGTGCATTTTCGAAGATCTGATGCTTAATACATGAGTCAGATCAGTGAAGTGTGATATTAGCAGCATTGCTGTTTCTCTACATAGATTTCATACACAATGGTGTCAAATCATCCCTATTCAGTAAAATACTTAGGCATGTGCTGAACTTCAATTTGGGACTTGCACACATACTCAAGAAATGGGATTAATGGGATTAGGCACCACTTTAAATGCTTTCCTGAATTTGGGCCAGAGCCGGTGTCCTCTTTTTCCCTTTTTACAGCCAATAACTTTCTTGCCCAGTCGCTGCCTCGTGACTGGGTAAGCAGATTCTTTGCTACAACCAACGTGTTACTCCATGTGAGCACACTATTTGGGGGATTTGTTTGGATGCTGCCAATCAGCTGCAGCATGTGGTTAATATTGATAGTAATTATATCTTAATGAGGTAAATGTACCCAAAGGCATAGACAATGGGCACATGTCATAAATATACATATAATAAAGTAATAATGGCGATTATCCATACCTCAGTTATCAGAACTGCCCTGTTATATTAAACTGGCTCATGTCCCCTGATGTCTATCACATTAAATGTTAACTGTAGGAAGCCACTATTTGAAAGTTGTAATTAATCCCTGTTGTATGCAGCTCACTGAGGTTACAGTAAATAGATACATGATCAATGTGATTTCAGGAAGTGTAGCAGCTGTACTAATATACCTGGAGCTGTGAATTGGTGAGAGGAGAGATGTAAAGCACAGTAAATGGAGTGGATGGTTTGCTGCCTTTCCAAGTATGACCGGGCAGATAGAAGACACTACCATAGGTGCTGTATATGCAACATTAGATCATGACTAACAAAACTGAGGTGTCACCCAACAGTGCAATTCAATCCCAAACTCTTCATTTATTGAAACTCTAAAAGGCCTGGGAGCAGCTGAGGATTGCTCAGGAGAGCATGAGTCTCAGCTCAGATAACTGAATTGTTTGAAGGGGAAGAGCACATGAGGCATGGCTAGACTCATTAAAGGGCATGAAGTCTCTTACAATGTTTAAAAAAGGGATTTTTAAAAATTGTATTTCACTTAAATGGCCAAACTAACACCCTGGATCTATACAAACATGGGGAAAGTTCAGATCCAGTCGAAAAATCCAAATAGGACACATCACATATAGATAAAACTGGGGGGACAAATACAGCACTAACCAGCTTTCACAGTGAAATGGACGTGTATTAAACTCTCTGTGTAAGCTTGTCTCTCTCACCAACAGAAGCTGGTCCAGTAAAAGATATTACCTCACCCACCTTGTCTCCAGTTCACAGTAAGTTGAACGCTTTGAAAAATGATACATATTCTTTAAATACCTTCATGGAACTGCTGAGTGGATTTACACTCTGTTAAAGAAGATAGCTTTGGGGTATTTGGGAATGTTGCACTAATGTGTGCAAATGCACTTTTTAAAAGTTAACTGTACTATCAAAAAACCTTTCATTCTTCCTCCTTGAATGGTCTGAATAAGAGCTAACAAACAATCAGAGCTTTATACTGCTTTAATAATAGAGAAAGATTTAAACAGACACTTTGGCACTGGCTGTAGATTCTGAGCTTTGCTGCCTGTTGCACGACTTGCAAAATTATGTATTTATTCCAGGCTGATTGCCTTCACTCTGTAAGCATTTTGGAAGGATAAAAGATGATGTTTTAAAGCTGATTGAATTGGGTGAATTGCTCCTTCACACTGCAAAGCCTGGTATAACACATTAACATGGCTAGAGAAAGAAAGAGTGCTTACTGCATGGATGGGCAAGGACTCTGACTTCATCCACAGCTATGTACCCCGGATGTCCCTTCAAAGACACGGATTCAAAGATCACCTGAAACACAGTGAGAAAAGCCTTTCTTACAAACACTAGCTGCAGGAATCATTTTAACGTTTGCCCCCTCCCACCCAACCCAAGTGCCTGAATCATTCAGGATTCTCCGATTCTGTCATTCTTGGCGGGGACTAAAGACCTGTTCAGGTGTGTGCACGCATATCAAGATGTTCTCTCAACTAGGTTTTGCACTGAATTTCAACTCCATTTGGTACAGAAATTGCTAGAGATTTATGATAACCTAATTTACCTCGTTACCAGGAACAGAGAACCCTTTGTCAGTCTTTTATTTGGAATAAAGACCCACCTGAGCTGAAATTCGTTGCCGATCTGAGGCCCACTCTGGGAAGTCATTAGAAGAGGGGGGTGTTATTTAGTCTGGAGAAGAGTAGAGTGAGGGGGGATTTGATAGCAGCCTTCAACTACCTGAAGGGAGGTTTCAAAGAGGATGGAGCTCGGCTATTCTCAGTGGTGGCAGATGACAGAACAAGAAGCAATGGTCTCAAGTTGCAGTGCGGGAGGTCTAGGTTGGATATTAGGAAGCACTATTTCACTAGGAGGGTGGTGAAGCACTGGAATGGGTTACCTAGGGAGATGGTGGAATCTCCATCCTTAGAGGTTTTTAAGGCCCAGCTTGACAAAGCCTTGGCTGGGATGATTTAGTTGCTGTTGTTCCTGCTTTGAGCAGGGGATTGGACCTCCTGAGGTCTCTTCCAACCCTAATATTCTATGATTCTATGAACCTGTTACAGATCCTAGTAAGTGGCCCCTCATGACTACTCACTAGGACAGATGTGAGGGGAATCCAACTCTCTGTGGTCTGGATTCCCAGGGTTGTTTTAAGTCCCTGGATCCTGAACAGAGTCCAGCCACTTCCCCAATCTCGGGGTCCCTAGACTTACTCTCAGGGCACAGATCTGCTGTCTGGAAGCCCCCCTGAGAACTGGAACCCACTGTCCAGCTGCCTAGCTCTTCTGGGAACAGAAGTCACCCCTCAGGCTCCCTCATACTTAAAACACACCCTCTCCCAGAACTCCACCCCAAAGCTATGAAACTTCTGGGTTGTGTGGGTATGCAGCAGTTGTGAAGCAGTCAACACACTTACTCCTTGCACAGAGTCTAACACATTTGCTCTTTTATACTTCATCCTGTAAAGCACAAGAGTACAGATCATACACAACAACAAGCCTCTTAAACCACATAGTCCCTCACTAGCTCACCCTTCTATTGTAAGCCCTTGGGGGACCATCTGGGTCCAGGAAGGCAGATAGACAGAGCATTCCATGCCTTATTCAGGCTGTTCCATACTGACTGGCCTCTCTCCCTCATGGATTCCTTCACCCAGCTTGCAGGACCTTGCTCTCTCCTGATCCATGCTTCCTCTTCCTGTATGGCTTCCCTATTCCTGTGTGTTTCTCTATTTAAACCCCTCCTGGTCATTGGGCCTCTTTTGTCCTGGTAAGTTTCCATTGCTCCTCGCCTCCTTGCTACCTTCTGAGGGATAAACTGGACTGGATTTCCAAGGCTTCAGGTCACCCATTGTTCCCAGGTGTTTGCATCTGAATAGGGTCACTGAGCCCTAAGCACCCACATTGTCTGTCTGCAGTGGTAGATCCACAAACTCAGAGGCATTCATGATACAGCAGTTTTTCAAAATACAATATCACCATTTCAACCAGAATTCATAAATGGTACAGAATCCCAATTAAGACACAGGACACAGTTGATACCTTGTCTTTCATATGTCCCACAGCTGGGGAATTCAGGAGTTTCTCAGGAGCCAGATCCCCCCATGTAACCACAAGCCCTGCATGGATTATTTTGGAGGAAGAAATTGGTTTGGCTTACAATACAATATCTGTGCAAGCAAGACAGCTGTAAAATCACAGCAATGCACCCCAGTCTCCAGTTGCTGGATTGCAAGAAGAGTCTTCTACACAGGGTAGTTTCTACCCTGAATCAAACCAACAGAAATGGAGAATGAAATACTGTTCTAAAAAAATATGATATGTAGTATCTCTACACATGCTGTATGTTATTTTTTTTTTAAATCTATCCTCATGGAGGAGAGGATATATTCAGAAGAGCTGTTTAAGAGTGCCATACCATATGGCAGTGAACATGCCCAAGCAATTTGGGGCTGCACACACAAGGACATCAAGCTACACAGCAGAGCAATAATGGTCTTTTGCTGTAACCCAGAGAATGTTCCTGGAATACTGTTCTCAGTTTTGGGCACCTCATTATCAGAGAAGGATAGACAGACTAGGAGCTCAGAGAAAAATCTCAAGAAAGGAAAACAAGCCAATGTAATTTTTTAGAGAGAAGAACTGAATATGTGCAATTTGTGTAATAAAACACTAAAGGATGGGGGTGGGCAGAACAGAACTGCTTGGAAATATTTGGATGGTGCAAACAACAAGGATAAGGAGAAATTTAGCAGGGTATGACTGGGATAAAGATAAAGGAAAATGCAGGCTGAATATCAGTGGCCGTTCAGCTGGCTCTCTGCACAGAGCTAAATTTCACCCACAGAGAACATTTTTATTGATAGAAAGATAAATTACCCCATTTGGTCAATACTTGGTCTCTTTGCACTGGCAACACCCAAGACAGTCAATTAAAGCAAATAGTCAATGGGCTTTCTGATCAAATAGGGTTGGTTTGTGTTGCATCTGGGCTTCCAAAACTTTAGTTCTACTCATGTTTGTCTACCTCCTTTTTTTTAATGGAAGAAAACACTAAAATTGTACTACTCCTAATACACCAAGAACACACAAAAATTAGACCTTTTGAAATAAAAGTCCTGAAAAGACAGATTCAGCAAAAGCATTGGAAATTGTGTGAAATATAAGAACAAAGGGGGCAAAAGATTTAAGATAAGGAAAGGTCAAGAACTGAATAAAGTCAGGAATGGAATTTAAATACATAGGAGAATAGTTAAGGAATAAACTACCCAAGGTACAGCAGCAACAGGATAAATTGGTAACACCAGTTACTGAAGAGTTAGGCAAATATCTGAGAGAGAAAACCACATGCTGGGGTTACACATGCAGCTTTGAAAAAGGAAAGGGCTCTTGATGAGCCACCTACTTGCTTTCTAGTGCTATAGTGTCATGTAATGGAACCTCTTGCTTACGCTCTTTAAAATGAGCAAGTCGTTCGAGAAACACATTGCAGCGATCAGGAAAATGACTCGAGAAATTACTGCTGCAGCTCCTTTCAAACTTAGGTTGCAAACTGTAACCTTAATATTGTTTTAATTTTTGAATACACGAGGAAGGAAGGTTCATCTGGAAAACAGTCTGCCCAAAAGGCATCTTAAACCATGTTATCAGCTTCCATACCTTCCACTCAAGGAAATTTCTTCAGAGCCCAGATTTCTCACCTCCAAGAGAACTCTTCTAAGAAGGGTTAGGCATTGCCCTTAACTATCAGTAGCTGGCAAAAGCAAATGCTAGACCACAGAAGCTTCTGTTCACTATTGTTGACTATTCAATGTGTAATGTCCTTTATGGCATACTGGACTGACACTGGACTGAGACAGATGGCTCAGGGCAACCACTGCTTACTGAGTTAGTAGATGAAAATCAGCCCCACACATTCTGCCCTCGGCCCCATGTTTTCCACCCCTCTCAATGTTCTGAATCTGCAGAACAAGCCGTCTCACTCTCTGCCTGCCTGTCACCCTCAACTCTTCATGCTCTAATTTCTTCCATCAATCCAAGCTCATAGAACTTCCTTCTCCCTTTGCATTGCACCGATCTAGACCCCAGCACCATGACAGCAGACCAGATTTTCCGGGAGGCAGAGAATTGGGGCCCAGGGCCTGGAGGAAGCTGAGATGTATGCTAATTTAAAGGCTCAATTCTATATATGTGACACTTTTATGTTTTACTCCTATGGGACTCCTTACTCATTCTGAAAGTTGAAGATTTCGGCCCTTAATACCGTTTTGCATTTTAACAGACCGCTCAAAGCTTAACATAGAAACAGACAAAATGCAAAGCTTTACACTTTCGGAACCTTCTTAAACGCCTTTGAGAACAGTAAAATCCAAGCCATTTCATGTTTCTTTCCCAACAAACAACCCTTACATGTTGCTGCTACTTTATACAAACAGTGTCTGTGCTAGCAAAGTAGCCTGGTTCATCTGTTGTACTACAACTGTTTTCTTAAGGCACAGATCAATAATGTTCCTTGCTGTACATCACACTAGCTTTTACTGGCAGACTCCAGTACTGCGCTTGGTGCTTAGCTCATCTTTATGGCACGCAATAATTCAGTGATTACATGTATAAACTCTCTCCCAGTCCTCCTACGGCTTTTCCTCACTATGCTAAACACCTATTCAGGCTGGGAATCCAAGTGTGACAAATTCTGGGGTAGCCATTATAAATCTCCACCATCCATATATATATGTCTCAACAGAATGCCTTTATAACTGGATAACTCATGTGAATCTTGTGCAGGATTGCCAGCATTGCAAACATGACCTCAGGAAATTGGCTTGGTTACCAGTATTCAGATAGCCAGACTCTCTATAGCTTTGAGTAGTAGCTGAAGCTTCCTGGGAGGGTCAGGCACAAGGCAGATGTTTCTGGAAATTTATTTCTTAACAGTGGGATTTTGAAAAGCATCTAGAGGAGTTAGATGCCCAATTTCCCAGCCTAATAACACAACACTGTTCCTGCTGATGACTCTGGAGCCGCATCTGTGCATCAAGAACATCCTCCACATTTTGTCCAACACGAATTCCGTGTTTTGATGTGGAGACAAATTTTCCTGGTTGTCCATTACTTTTGAAACACTATCTTAAGAGTTCATTGTGAAACACTGGACATGCTTTCAGGCCTCAGTGAATCAGTCTGCATTTCCCTGGCATGCACTATTAGATTAAAATTGACAGTAGGGTGGAAAGGCTTTTAAAACAAGGAATATTTCTATGGCTCAGGATCAAGATGTGCCACTTCCTGACAATTGGGAGATGAGGAGCCCACCAGGCATCTAGGTACCCAGATTACAGCCATATTTGAGCTCAGTCTGCCTGTAGCCTCAGGTATTCCATGAGGTCACCAAGAAGAGTGAATGGGGACAAAGTTTCTCGCTTCCTCCTTTTAAGTACACAAATTTCTCTCAGTCTATTCTCCATTGTCTTGGCTGAAGTAACAAGACCTGGGATGACCATTGGTCTATAGGCCATCAGATGGAGACAGTTTGTACAGGTAGAGACTGGTGAATCTCTGAGGTTTAAAAGCCACCCTGAGAAGAATGGAAGTTTGAGCAGAGTGGGAACGTCTGGAAGGACCAACCACCAAAAAAGGACAAGAACCAAAGTGCTTTCAGCTGGAAGGGAAGAAGCCACCATGGTTCAGATTTAAAAAAAACCAACATCCCATCCAGTTATTAAAAGCAAGGGGGAAAAGAAAGTACACTCAGCTGTGGAATGTTATCTACAGTAATTCCTACCCCATTTGTGCCTCTGATCAGCAATTTATGTACCTCTCCTACAATGTGTAGTGGGCAGTTCCTTGCCATTCCTTTTTGTCTCTGATAGAATGGTAAAAGTGTCCTGCATGAAAAGAAAGTGCACTCATTTACTGAATTAAGACCAAGAAAGTGCATAGAAAGGAGTTTGGAACAGGCCACATGATGGTGCAGTAAACAGGTGGCTGCAAAATTAATGTAGTAAAATATAATTGAAACCTTCAACTATAATGAGTTTCTCCTGGAAAAGTCAGCAAGAGCCCAAGCATGGCATGCACATTCCTAATAAAGTTTCACTTCACTTAGCCCCTAACGTGGCATATTAGTGCTTCTGCGTAAATAAAATTGCAGTGGTCCCTTTGCACAGCACAGCTACTCCCTGATCTCACAAAGCCAGCTGACTCCCAACCCCCAGACAGCACTGCAGCTGCTCTCTACATCTGCCTCCCTTCTTTGGATGAACAGTTTCTTCAATCTAAATAGTCCTGAACCACCCGCCTCCCTTCTTCCTCTAGGGAACCATTCCAGAAGAGTAGAGTGCTACCTGCACTTGAGTATATAGAATTTATCTGCTGCTTAAAAATAGTCCTCTTGGTGTGAAATCCGGCTTAGCTAACTGAAGCCCAGCCTCTGTTTGGGAAAGACTAATAATGAGACAACTACTATGACATTCCAACCACGTCTGGACTTGATCGACATTTCTAACATCTTTCACCCAGGCAACTCTCTGATGTCACTGAAAAAACCCTGATTAACAGCTGATGACGTCCTGCTGTCAGCAAACAAAAAATCATGGTAAACTACACTAAATCCCCCAGTAGCCCTGGATACACTCAGATGTTGGCACCAAGACAGTAGCTCGTGGTGGGGATGCTCCTGAATGAGTGCTCAGCATTATATGAAAGGGCCATGGTCCAGATTAGGCTACTGTCATGTGGTCCTACTTGAGTGAAATTGATTCAGGAACTTGAACAGCAGCAGAATGAGACTGTCCGCTTGCTCCTTGTGCTAGGAGTGCCCACTGTTATGTCCACAATGTGCACAATCTGCATGGAATGCCGGAAGGTCAAAGCATGTAGTTTCAGTTCAGGATTGGTATATGAAGCACCTCACAGTCTAAGACTTAAGAAACTTGACTATTCTTCCCTAGCTCTAATTCCCTGCCCATTTGAGGCTGACTGCTGGGAAGGATCTGTTCTTACTCGTTTCAGAAACCAGGACTGGGACAGGATGCAATGGGTTTGCTGCTCTTAGTCCTGTTCCCAGTAGACAGGTATCCATACCACAGAAATCATCATCATCGGCACTCACTGGAATTCAGATGGGCTAACTTTCATTCAACATTCCCTCCAGTCTGAAAGGGGCCTGGGCTTTTAAACTAGCAGGACTATCAATCTTGGTGGGAGCTGGCACAGTTCCAGCGGATGTAGTTCTGACCTACCTCCCGCTCTTGGGGAAAGGGAGAAGAGCTTGAGACACCAGAGAGGAAGTTACTCTAAGACTCAGGGAAGGAGCCAGCTAGGCAGCAAAGGCAAAACTGTGCCACAAGCAGCCCTTACTCTAAACGTATTCCACTTTATTTAGCAAGCTTACAAGATGGCAAAAATCAATCCAAAGATGCCCTATTAGATGCCAGGCTGCTGGTGTTAAGTTCAACTCAGTAACTCCAACAGGGGAAGGGAGGACTCAGGAGAAAAAGCAAACAGATGAAGAGCCCACTCAGATTAGGAATCTGGGCCAAGCTTTCAAAAACAGAGCAACCACCCAAATGCAAAGGTGAGTGAACAAATGTCAAGCGCTCTTGCTCATGCAGTCAGTTGGGTGCATGGGCAAACTGGGTTAAGTATGTGCAGATAGTTAGTTAAATGTCTAGATAAATGTGCATGTATATTTACCCAATTTTATGCAGAGCCATGGTAAATGCAGGTGGAAGGGTTTACACATCCTTATTCTCAGAACACATCAGTGCTGACCAACAACCGGTTCAATAAAGCCCTCCCTCCAGAAGCCGAAAGCCTTCTAGAAGCAAGAGTGTTGAAGAAATTCATGGAGAATAGGTCCATCAATGGCTATTAGCCAGGATGGACAGGAATGGTGTCCCTAGCCTCTGTTTGCCAGAAGCTAGGAATGAGCAACAGAGGATGGATCACTTGATGATTACCTGTTCTGTTCATTCCCTCTGGGGCACCTGGCAGTGGCCACTGTCAGAAGACAGGATACTGGGCTAGATGGACCTTTGGTCTGACTCAGTAGGGCTATTTTTATGTTCTTAAGAAAGCAGCATGCTTCAAGATGCCTGGAGGCTCCCACCATACAAAATCACCACACACAAGGCCAGTTCTAAAACTCTTTACTTGTATAAGCACCACTCATAAGAGGATATCAAAGCAGGTCAGCTATCAGCAAAGGAAGCCTCACAGCACTAATTGGGGAGGTAAGTGTTTACCCCATTTTACAGATGGGGAAACTGAGGCAGGGAGGTTGCCCCAAAGAGATTCAGAAAGAGACCAAGGAGCAGAGGCAGGACCAGAATCCAGGAATCCTGTCCCTCAGTCAGACAGCTAGAATAAACTGCCTCTTGCCAGCAGGTCCCATAAATCTCTCCCCTCATGTCTGCATGCAGTGTTGCAGAGTTTCTTCTCCTCTAGTGCCCCCTTTAGGCCATCTGCCTTTACATGCCAGTCAGCTCTCCAGCTGAAAAGTGGATATTTCAGCTCACTTCCAAGGTGACAAAATGTCCAGGTGTAGTCCCAAAGATTCATTAACTATCCTCTGGGCCCTGTGCTCATCCCCTTGCCTTTCTCCAGCTCTGCTATTGAGTATTGCTCTGCCCAGCTCAAGTCTTCCTGAGGCCTCTAGCACCTTACCCCTTCACGGGAGTGAGCAAGCCAGTCAGCCAGCAGCTCCTCTCTTCTTGACTCTCAACCTATTTGTAAGGCCGAGATGCCTGTTATTACCTGATCCTTCCTTAGTCCCACCTCTCCTGACTGACAAGGAACTACCTCATTACCACCCAGGTGAAGTGAATGATGAACTGGAACTTCAACCCTTTCTTGCCTGTGATGGGGTGAGAGCTCATGACATATTGTAACAATTGTTCCAATATTGTACAGGAAAAAAACTTAAGTATTTTTATTTCAGAACTAACATTCATGACCTCCTTGACTAACAATAGCCCAGCCCCAAACTCAGAGCAACAGAGCAAATCTTTGGTGGAGGAAATATTACAAACACATACCTGATAAAAGTGTGGCCAGAATGTACTGATGGCAAGCTCTGCCTTCACCCAACCTTCAGTAACAATCCCCGACACATTCCAGATGGGGTTGCCCTGTGGTCCACCGTTAACCTTCACGTAGACATTCAACGAGCCAGGGCTGGAGCGGTCTCTGCTAGACAGGTAGTAGTGAAAGTCGATGCAGTGAGTGTCATTTTCCTTCAAGGTGGGCAACAGCAAGTGAGCTTTCTGCCCAGATGCCCGTCCAGAGCTATTCACCATCATGAAGGAACCTAGAGAGAAAGAAGGGAAAAGGGGAAGGGAAGAGAAGAGGGTTTTTGGTTTGGGTTTTTCAGAGCAATTGTATCAGAAAAGTAAATGATTCTACATGATCCGCAGCAGTCAGAAAACAAAACGTTCATTTCATGGAGCTGAAGCCTCCTATTTTATGGATATTAAACTTACCAGGTAGAGATTCAAGTACATTTTGGGCCCGCTAACACCAGAGTATTATAAGAGTTCTTATTTTTGAATTTTCTTCTGTCAATTTCATTTTATATAACAGGGCAGGAAAATATTCCTTCCGAGTTAAAATTAAGATACATCTTTTTGTTCCATGCTTCATGTATAGAGACTTACCAAATTCATGGCCATGAAAAACTCATCATGGACCATGAAATATGGACTCCCCATGAAATCTGGCAATTATAAGTGGGTCACGGTATTGCCATCCTTACTTCTGCGCTGCCTTCAGAGCTGGGCTGCTGGAGAGCGGCCACTGCTGGCTGGGCACCCAGCTCTGAAAGCAGCGACACCACCAGCAGCAGCACAGAAGTAAGGGTGGCAATGCCGCGACCCCCCTACAATAGCCCTGCGAACCCCCCACAACTTCCTTTTGGGTCGGAACCCCCCCAGTTACAGAACTGTGAAATTTCAGATTTAAATATCTGAAACTGTGAAATTTAAGATTTTTGAAATCCTATGAACATGAAATTTACCAAAATGGACCATGAATTTGGTAGTGCCATATTCATGTAGTAACCAGCCCTACACAATGTGTGTACACCCTTGCATACCTGGCTCCCCCTATGGCATGCCCAATATAAAAGGATGCAGTGGGTGAGGCCCCCAATTGCCATAAGTCAGTGTAGCACCGTTGCAGACCTGTGCCAGCTTACGCCAGCACAAGATCCAACCCAACATCTCTGTATAGTAAACCTCTAAACACTCCCCTGCATTAACAGCACCCCCATTTGCCAAAGTCCAGCAGAATTAAACGCGTGAGTGTAACAGTGACATCCCAGCTAGAAACAATGCAATAAGGACCGTTAAACCACTCGTGGGAGGAACTGGACACAAGTGGCATTCAGAGTGAAAATGCTCGAGTGGGAGGTGGTATAAGATTAGAAGGGATTCATGAGTTTGTTTACCATGGAGCTTACCTTATATAAACCACAGCAGTGGGTGTTGAGGAACTCATAGCTTGCTACACCAAGCATTTTATTTTGAGACACGTTGGTTTTAAACTTGTCTCTTCACAGATGCATCAAGGTGACAAAACACATTAGCAATGAGAAAGCCGTTAAGGGAGTTATTTGGTTCGATTCTATTCAAAGAATCGGCTTTCAGTGTGGGCACAGGCAGGAAAATTGGAAAAAAAAGTATTGAGAGGAGGGAAAAAAATCTCTGTGTTTCAGCAGCCAGGCATGATAATTTTTAATCAAACGCAACCCTCTTGACATTCTCAGTTCCGATACTGCTGCCAAGTCATGCTACAAATGTATTTCTCTGCTGGCCTCTTGCAGTTCACAGAAGATTGAGTTTGGAAAGGCTCACTTCAGTTCTAACCTATAGAAGTTCCCTTTTCCTTTCTAATCCACGCTGCAGCAGTGTGACAGACACCCAGATGAGCCAGATAAACATTTTGATCAAATCTGCTCAGTGAACAGCCATATGCTATAATTTTTTATCAACGGACACTGGCAGCATTCCCCCACAAAATCCTTTCCCCCCCCCCGGCCATGTTCATACGCACCCTCTCTCTCTCTCTCTCTCTCAATAAAGGATCAAGAGAGGCAAAGATGCAGAAGGAAGGAAGTCTTTTATACTAAAGGGGAAAAAAAGTCTCTTGGGACTTTAGGAAATTCAGCCACAATGTAAGTAAAGATGAGAAAACGACTGCACTGAGCAACAAGAAAAAACTGACAGGCAGATCCTTTCAGGGCCGTTCTAACCTACATCTCAAGTTGGTAGAAATAGAAATGGATGTTACCCAAGAAAACTTCAAATTCAAGCACCCTTGGACTTTCAGAAACTTTAGATCTGAATCCAAACTTTGCAGCTGATCCCTCTCTGTAATTGGAAGACCACGCCAAAGCACAAGGTCAAATGCTGGGATTTTAAAAAGCGTTCACTGTTGACCCAGTTCTGCTCCCACCAAATATAATAGTAAACAGGCTGAATAAAAATCCATAATTAAAAAAAATATCAAATCTTTTTTATTTAAATTGAGTTTTTTATTTAAATCGGATTTTTTTGATAAAATGCTTTTTGAGGAAAAAAAACTATCTAAAGATAGTTTTAATTAAGATACATTATAGCTCAAAGATATCTCATCGTGGAATAGGGATTATAAATTCTAATTCTATAGTATGAGACAATCTATTCATGTAATGTTTAAGAAAAGTTTTGTAAATGTGTTCCAATAGTTCATGGATTAGGGACCCAATCTCATGGGGTTCCAGGGGCTTCTGTACAGATTATTTAGGTTAATCTTTCTATCTACCCAATGGGATTCAGTGCTCAGTCTAGAAGATACCATCAGAGATCCTTAGTTTTGCAGTTCTCAAACTGTGGATTTGTGTCTCCAGAGATAACATGCTTGTTAACAGCAAAAAATGTTTTCAAATAAATAAACAAACAATATATAGAGGTGAGAAATAACAGACCTCAACTCTATTGTCCCTCAGCAAATTTGTGTACACAGAGTCAATCCCTTACCTCTCTCTAAAAGTGCAAAGTTTCAAAAAGTTCAAAGAATAGAAGATTGTTGGGGGCGGAATAGATCTGGACAAGGAGCAGAAGTCTGTAGATAAATGTGAGAAGGGAGGGACAGGCAGTAGCAACAAAAGTGAAACTGTTTGAGCAACATACTCTAGAAGTCTTGAGGTCTTTCTGAGTGTAGCCTTCATTGATTTGAGATCTACCATACCATTCTCTCACTAGAAGGGAAAACCTATAATGTCAGCAGTCCGTAAAAGAGACCCAGTTTGGGAATATTTTAATGAAGTTGTCTACCTGTGGGTAAAACAAGCATGCATGCAAAATGCAAAACAGTGCAACAAAGAAATGCAAGGCTTGGTTACCCGAATGAAACATCATCATGAGAAGTGTTCCTTCTCAGGAGGAAGCTATGCTGAAAATGATGAAAGGAACATGTCTGAACATGCAGGATCTTCAGGTTGGTAAACTTTTTTATTTCATACTTTTCTTAGGGACTATGCCTGTCTTCTTTCTGGACTATTCTTGAATTCTCATGTTTGAGCAACAAACATAGTTGTTACTCTGTGGTACTATCATTTTAGGTGCAGTTGTGATAAAAAATAAATAGCTGAAATAGGCAGATCTTCCTTTTACAATTTCACTTTTAAAGTTGTACTGAGTGTCAGTGAATGCAATGAGTAATACTAAATGAGCAGTATGGTAATAATAATTAAATAACTGCATTGACTTATTTTGTTTAGGAGAATCCATCCTTAACATACAGGATTCTGAAGACTATCCACCTTCAAGATCACCATCGTTTTCTATAGTTTCAGAGTTATCTGCCAAAGATAGTGTTTCAGTCACATCATGTATGTCACATAGCCACAGTATATCACCTGTAGCAAAAAGAAAAAGAAAATCTCCATCATCCAGAAACAACCATAGATAAGTTTGTGATAAGAACCAGCAGATTACAAAAAGAGGTAATTGATGAAAAAATTGACTGGTTTGTTTATGCAACAAACTCTTCTTTCCGTATGACTGAGAACCCACGCTTCATTAACATGGTTCAGTCATTAAGACCAGGATACAGTCCACCCAACAGAGCAGATGTCGCAGGCAAATTGCTGGATAAAGTGTATGAAAGAGAAATTGAGCAGTGTGCAAAAGATCTAGAGGGTGAAATTGTTAAGCTGAGTCTTCATGGGTGGAGCAATGTCCACAATGCTCCTGTTGTATGTGCTTGTGTGACGACAGAAGAAGGGACTGTCTTCCTTACAGAAACAATTGACACATCAGGAAATGCACCCACAGCAGAATACTTACAAAAAGTAGCAGAAAAAGCTATAACAAACTGAGAAAAAAAAGTAAATGTCTAGTACGCAACTTGGTCACAGACAATGCTGCAAATGTATCCAAGATGAGAAGAAATTTAGGAGAGTCTCAAGCTAATAATATATGGTTGCAGTCTCATTTGATGCACCTCCTAGCCTATAGACTTCAGTGTTGCAGAAATAAAGGCTAATATTGTTGAAATGGCAAAATACTTCCATAACAACCACTTTGCAGAAAAAGTGGGAGGAACCAAGCTCACTCTCCCACAAGACGTGTGATGGAACTCAATAGTGGACTGTTTTGAGCAGTATATCAAGAATTGGCCTAACTTGATGACAGTTTGTGAACAAAATCATGAAAAAATAGATGGCACTGTCACAGCCAAAGTTCTCAACATTGGGCTTAAGAGAAATGCTATACACATGCTGAGTACCCTGAAGCTTATTTCTGTAGCCTTGAACAAAGTGCAGGGAAATAGCTATTTTATTGCTGATGCTGTTGAAATTTGGAAGGAACTGAGTGAGATCTTAAAAAGAGAAATAGTCAATGACAGAGTTAAATTACAAGCATTTAAAAAAAATGAATGGGACAAGCACTATCTCCAGCTCATTTTCTTGCAAATATTCTCAATACTCGGTACCAGGGTCAAACCTTAACTGCTGAAGAAGAGGAGTTGGCTTTGCCATGGACATCCAGCAATCATCCCTCCATAATGCCAAATACAATAAACTTCAGAGCTAAGGGTGAATCATTCAAGAAATATATGATTGCTGATGACGTTTTAAAGAAAGTCATACCAGTGAACTGGTGGAAATCACTTAGGCACTTGGATTCAGAGACTGTTGAAGTGATAATCTCACTTTTAACAGCAGTAGCTTCTTCTGCCGGTGTAGAAAGAATATTTTCTTCCTTTGGACTAATTCATTCCAAATTGAGAAATCGTTTGGGACCTGAAAAAGCAGGAAAGCTTGTT